TGTGTGAGATATGTCCGGTGACAAGGACGGGTCCGATGTTAAGGACCTCACCTATGATGAATCAGTTTCCTGGGCATGCATCACTGGTGCAATCAGCGTCAGTGAAGTGGAGGAGAAGACGTCGGTGTTGGTTTTGTTTTCTTGGTTTGAACCCAACAATCCCTCCGGCGGTGCTCTGAATCATGGAAAGTGGGTTGCGCATTAGATCTACGCATAGTGGCGCGTGGAATGCGTTGGCTCGTCCTCAGATCTAGATGCTTTGGATGGCTGAGGATGAGATCAGTGGTTCCGCCGGAGACGAAGAGGTTGAAGTATCGTTCAGGAAACGAAGAAGTGGAGGACGACGAGTTTGAGTTTTCCCAGCCCGCCGCGACGGCTGAAGAAGTCCGATTCTCATTTAGTAAGATCTGATTCTCGTTTGGTGGCTGTTGGCGAAGGTGACGGACGGCGAGCTCGAGACGCTATTAATGATGGTGTATATAGGAGGCAGATAGCTATTGGCGACGGTGGAGGACAGCATAAGGTCGGAATAGTCAGTGGTAGAAAGATGATTGCATCTGTGAGAAGCTGAGTTTGTGGCTGAGTTTGGAAATTGTCTAAAATGGTAATTTTACATTGCCTAAATTTTTTAATATTATTTTATTTTATTGACAAGAGGGTATTAATATCTTTTTATGCGAAGTGGGGGGTATTTGCACCAAATTGATAGTATAGGAGAGTTTTATATAGGGGTGGCAAAATGGATCAGGAACCATCAACTCGTCGATATCCGCTTGCTTTATAATGGCTATGGGTAAACCATATTTAATTGAGAGTCAAAATAGGTTGGGTAATTTTTAACCACTTAATTTGAGGGTCAAGATAGGTTGAATATGATTAACCATATTCAACCAATATTTCACCTATCACATAATAAACACACAACACACATCTATTCTATATTGCACTCAACTCATTTCTCTCTCTAAAATTTTCTCACTCATAATCTTCTCTCTCTAAATTTGTCTCTCATAAATTCCCCCTCTCTAGAAATTTCTTCTAAAAAAAATAAATAATTTAAAAAAATTAAAAATTAAAATTAATTTTAAAAAATAAAAATTAAAAAGAAAATTAAAACCTTACGAAAAATAATTTTAAAAATTAAAAATTAAAAAAATAAGGGGGTAGCGCTTAGGGGACCAATGCTCCTTTCTGCAAAACCATATTTTTAGTTGGCCGTAAGCTCTGTGATGGTCCATATTTATTTTGGAGATAAATGTCTTTGTCTGAAACCCTTTACTACATCTTTCAGATAAAAATCTTCACAAATTGTAAATTTGTGTGTGTGTGTGTGTGTATGTGTGTGAAATTTCTCTCCAAAATCATTATCATCCATCTGATCACATTGAATTTGGTTTTCAAAAATCTAATTATGCGAAATAAATATTGCAGAGAGCAGGTCGGTAGGGTTTTAAGAGAGAATGAGCATTAGATTTTTTTGAAATTTATTACATCTCTCTCCAAAATCATTACCATCCATCTAACATTGAAATTGGTTTTCAAAAATCTAATTATTAGAAGTAAATGCAGAGCGTAGGTTGGTGGGGTTTTAAGAGAGAAGAAACATTAGCCATACTCCGGCGTCCGATGGGCCTGCTCCGGTTTTGGCTAATTCTGCAACACCGGCAGAGGCACCAGAAATGTTCCCATCGAGTTTAAATAATAAAAATATATATAAAAATATAAAAAATTAAAAATAATAATTAATGGGTCCACGGGTTGACCCTGCCCATTTTCAACCCGTTTTTAATGAGTTAAATATGAGTTTTGACCCATGTTGACCCACCCATTTTCAACCCAACCCAAACCCAGCTCAACCCACCCATTTGTCACCCCTAGTTTTATACCACACATGCACTTTTTTTGCACTATATCAATAGTAAATGGGTTTTTTTCACACTTAACCCGATACCTTTCTACTAGACTAGGGTTTGTAAGATCTGTGAGCTTTTCTAGTTCACCAGAAATAGTAATCCCCACTATATATCTGCCTTTTTATAAGTTTATTGTGCAATTCTATCACTTGTTTCGTTTACCGAAGAAAAATTCTATGACTTCTTTCCGACCTTTCAATAATACAACGATTGTTGTTGATTGTTCTGTACATTCATGTATGAGAAAGTAGGTAAGTTTAGTTGTATGAACAAAGGGAAGTTTTGGAAGTTCTTTACTCTAGGGACACAATCTAAATCTATTTTAAGTTCAAGCACTACTGTGTAAATCAGCACAAGTTAGTACAAAGTTGGGAGGTTAATTATATTTAGGAGATAATGAATCAGTTTATAGTCAATTTGGTCGTGGATAGTTAGTCGACATTGGAGGTCGATTCTTTGTTTCTTGTGCTTCTAAGAGTTGAATCTCTGTTGCTAACATACTGAAGTTGGTTTTTGATTAAGATCTCCTTTGGAAGCACAGAGATGCATAAATGAAACATTGTCCAAAAACTCCCCCACTGCTATACTGCATTTGAGGCCCAAGTATATATGTTGATAATTTGCATATAATTAAATTCCAAGTCTCAAATGAAGGACTATATTGTTGTGGTTTTATGGAGTCTGATTAGATAGAAGATTTTTAGAAAGATTTAATTATATGGAAACTTCAAGAGTACTGAATTTTAGGGAAAATTCAGTTTCCTAATCTGTTAGGGAAAATTCAGTTTCCTAATCTGTTAGGGAAAATTCAGTTTCCTAATCTAATTTGACTTCCTTATTGGTTTAAGAAAAATTCAGTTTCCTGATCTGATTTAATTTCCTTATTGGTTTTGGATTCTACAAAAGGCAAGTTCTTGTAGGACAAGTTTGGGACTCTATAAATAGGGGTAAAAATTAGAAATAAATGTGAGCCAATACAAGAGAGAGCAATTGAGAGAGATTGAGAGAGAATTCTCCTTGTAATTCTTCATCTTTTTCATAGTGAATTTGTTCGGTGTGCTCCATAGACGTAGCCCTAGGATTTAGGTGAACCATGTATATCTTGTGTTCTTGTGTGTGATTTTTTTTCTCTGTGATTGCTTGATTATTCCTCGAACACCGTGCGTCGTTATTTTACGTCTCCGCCACAACAACTGGAATCAAATTCGGTTGATTGTGCAGTGCAACTCTAACAACTGGTATCAGAGCCTTTGGTTGAGAACCTAGGACACAGAAGGTGTGTGACGAAATTCCAAAAGTCTTTCGATCAGATCTGTCCGTTCGAGTGGGAGTAATGGCATCAGAAGATAAGACATCCACATCCATGATTGAGAAGTTCGATGGCACAAACTTCAGTTTCTGGAAGATACAAATTGAAGACTTCTTGTTTCAGAAAAACCTGTATCAACCTTTGGGAGAGAAGCCAGAGGATACAAAGGATGCAGAATGGGAATTATTTGATAGGAAGGCTCTTGGCACCGTCAGATTGACGTTATCAAAGTCAGTTGCCTTCAATATCAAGAACGAGAAGACGACGAAGTTTCTCATGGCAACCCTTTCTAGTATGTATGAACAGTCTTATGCAGCGAACAAGGTGCACTTGATTAAGAAGTTGTTCAACATAAAGATGGTCGAAGGTGGTAAGTTCAACGAACATCTAAATGCGTTCAACGAGATACTTGGGAAATTAGAGTCTATTGATATCGACTTCAAAGATGAGGTCTGAGCACTGCTAATTCTAGGGCAGTTACCCGAGAGTTGGAGTGGCACAGTTACAGCGATCAGTAACTCTGCAGAGAAGACCAAGTTGAAGTTTGATGAAATTGTGAGAATGATTCTAACTGAAGAAATTAGAAAGCGAACAATAGGGGTTTCCACTAGTGGTTCGGCGTTGAATATTGAAAGTAGAGGCAAGGGTTCAAACAAGAAGAAGGGCAACAATAATAGAAACAGAGGCAGATCCAAGTCAAGGAATGGAAAGACACAGTCTCAAAATTTCAGGAATTCCACAGATCTCAATGACGTTGAGTGTTGGAATTGTGGAAAGAAGGGACATTACCGTGTTAATTGCAGACTTCCAAAAAAGGGAACCGAAAGAAAAACTGAAGCAAACTTTGTCTCAGAAGAATCAGATGATGTATTGATATGCTCCTTGGAAAGCAAGGCGGAGTCATGGGTTTTAGATTCTGGCGCATCATTTCATGGCACCTCAAACAAAGAGCTATTAAATAGCTATGAACCGAGTAACCTTGGTAAGGTGTATCTTGGTAATGATCAGCCTTGCAGCGTCGTTGGCAAGAGTGAAGTGCAAATCAAGTTGAATGGGTCAGCTTGGAAGTTAAAGGATGTGAGATACATTCCTGACTTGAGGAAGAATCTGATTTCGGTGGGACAATTGTCAGATAAAGATTTTGTTACAACCTTCAATGGAGAATTATGGAAAGTTTCCAGAGGCGCTATGACCATTGCACGTGGTAAGAAATCTGGCACTCTCTACACAACTACTAGTGCTTGTAGGTCTATAGCAGTTGCAGAAAATAGATAAGATCACAACCTTTGGCACCAGAGACTAGGTCACATGAGTGAAAGGGGGCTCAAGATTATGCACTCAAAGAGAAAACTACCAAGCATACGGGCAATTGATATTGACTTTTATAAGAGTCACGTGATGGGCAAGCAAAAGAGGGTCAGTTTCAAGAAGAGTGGCAGAGATCTCAGAAAGGAGAAACTTGAATTAGTTTACACAGATGTTTGGGGGTCAATCACTGTTTCATCCGTCGGCGAAAAATCTTACTTCGTGACTTTCATTGACGATCACACGAAAAAGGTATGGGTTTATTTTTTGAAGGACAAATCTGAGGTATTTGATATGTTCAAGAAGTGGAAGGCCATGGTAGAGAATGAGACAGGTTTGAAGATCAAGAGGTTGAGATCAGACAAAGGTGGTGAGTATGAAGACACTGGGTTTAAGAAGTTCTGCTTTAATAATGGGATCAGACTAGAGAGGATTGTGCAAGGAACCCCACAGTAGATGGGGTGGCAGAACGGATGAATCGAACATTGACAGAAAGAGCCAGAAGCATGCGCATACATTCGGGTCTACCCAAACAGTTTTGGGCAGAAGCGGTCAATACAACATCCTACCTAATAAATCGTGGACCATCGGTACCTTTGAAGCATCGAATACCAGAAGAGGTATGGATTGGCAAAGAGGTAAATCTTTCATGGTTGAAAGTTTTTGGTTGTATTGCATATGTGCATATTAGGGGTAATTTACACAGACCTCCCCTATGGTTTGCCATAATTACAAGCGGCACCCTTCCTGTTCCGAAAATTACGAAGACCTCCCTACTTTTGAAAATATCCTACACGGACCTCCCTTCCGTTACAGTCAACGCTAGTCAACGACGGAAAATGATGACATCAGCTACCATTTTTCATGAAATGCCGAAAATACCCTTCAATTGCTTCAACTCTGTTGCGCCTTTTCTCGAACATTTAAAGCCCAAAATGAGATATATCATCAAATGGGTGTCTCTGAAACTGCCATTAAAGAAAGTCTGTGTACCGGCCAAAAAGGAAGGATAGAGAGTGGCTTTTTTTATTTGGGTGCTTATCAAATCTTACTGATACACCCAGAAATCTCTGGCATTGATTGCGCATAATATAGAAAGGCACCATAATATATAATCATTCGTTGTTGTGATTCTTGGTTTATATATTATATTAATAAATGATCATACTCTCTCTGTAACCTCTCTTAATTGTGTTTTTGTAGTTAAATATTGATTTGGTTGATTTAATTATTTTTTTGGTTTGTGGGTGTTGATTATTTGTAGTTTTTAAGTACAAGAATGGATCAAACTCTGTTCTAGTTGTGAAGAAAGATGATTATGACAAGTGCAACACAGAGAAGCCGATCATGAAGATGGACGATGGTGATTCAGTCTTTAAGTTTGATCGGTCGGGTCCATTCTTCTTCATCAGTGGAAACAAAGATAATTCCCAAAAGGATCAGAAGCTCATCGTTGTTGTTTTGGCAATCAGAAACCATAACAAGTTTCCCCCGGTGGCCGTACCTCCAGCGCCGGTGGGTCAGACTCCAGCATCGTCACCGTCACCAACAAAGTCCTCCCCTTCGCCAGCCCCAGCTACAACACCATCTCCAATTTCTCATACTACGTCAGCAACGTCACTGTCACCCATATGATCCTCCCCTTTGTCTGCCCCAGCCACAACACCCGTACTGTCACCATCTCTAATTTCTCACACTTCGCCGGCAACGTCACCCATCTCTCCATCTCCAGTGACTATGCCTCCGGTAAGTTCTCTGGTTCCAGCTATGACACCCAAATCGCCTTCTCCGGCGACCCACTCTTCGGTCCCATCTCCAACCTCAATTGTCTCACGGGCACCGTCAATTGCACCAGTAACCCCTTCTCCGGTGTATTATCTGACAACCTCGCCTGCTGCAGCACCAATATTTGTCTCACGAGCATCGTCAATTGCACCAGTAAACCCTTCTCCGGTGTATTCTCTAACAACCTCGCCTGCTGCAGCACCAATACTTGTCTCACCAGCACCGTCAATTACACCAGTAATTCATCATTTATTTCCGTTAGTGGGTATGTCAGATTGGGAGAATTTATGGAAAGAGGGGGGAGAAGAGGGGTATTTAAGTCATTTACCATAGAGAATTAAGGGCATTTTAGTAATTTTGACAGCTCCTTTAGTGTATTTAACGGTTCATCACACATAAGGGAGGTCCGTGTAGGATATTTTCAAAAGTAAGGGAGGTCCGCGTAATTTCCGGAACAGAAGGAGTGCCGCCTGTAATTATGGCAAACCATAGGGGAGGTCTGTGTAAATTACCCCGCATATTAGTGACCATGCTAGGGGAAAGCTCAACCCCAAGTCACTAAAATGCATCTTCGTTGGGTATGGTGGAGATGAGTTTGGTTATCGACTCTAAGATAATCAGAACAAGAAAATCATCAAAAGTAGAGATGTGATTTTCAACGAGAAGGTGATGTACAAGGATAGAGATGCAGCACAGTTAACTAGTCCTGTACAGAGTAAGCCTGAGTTTGTTGAGTTGGATGATGATCCAAAGAGCATTGATGCGGAGCAGACAGATGAGGGTTCTTGGCCAGAACTCACAGAGCATAGTTCACCGCAGATTCCGCCAACTCCTATGCTTGCACCCAAAAGGTCTACGCGACCTCATGTACCGAATAGGAAATATTTGGATTATATGTTGCTCACAAATGATAGTGAGCCTGAATGCTATGATGAAGCATGTCAAGTTGAAGATGCTAGCAAGTGGGAGCTTGCAATGGAAGATGAGATGAAGTCTCTTATTTCCAACAAAACATGGGAACTAGCCAAGTTGCCCATGGCGAAAAAAGCTCTTCACAATAAATGGGTGTACAAGGTAAAAGAGGAATACGATGGTTCCAAGAGATACAAGGCGAGATTGGTGGTCAAAGGCTTTCAGCAAAAACAAGGCATTGACTACACAGACATTTTTTCCCCGGTTGTGAAACTGAGTACCATTCGCTCAGTTCTTAGCATTATTGCAGCAGAGGGGTTGCACATTGAGCAGTTAGATGTCAAAACTACTTTCCTCCATGGTGACCTTGAGGAGGAGGTTTACATGCAACAACCGGAGGGTTTCTCAATCAAAGGGAAAGAGAAACTAGTGTGCAAGTTGAAGAAAAGCTTATATGGTTTGAAGCAAACCCCGAGGCAGTGGTACAAGAAGTTTGATGGTTTTATGAAGTGGCATGGCTACAACAAGTGCAATGCTGACCATTGCTGATACTTCAAGAGGTTCAAGTCAAGTTTCATTATCCTTCTACTTTATGTTGATGACATGTTAGTGACAGGTTTTGATTTTAAAGAAATTAGCAAATTGAAGAAGCAGTTATCTAATGAATTCGAGATGAAGGATCTTGGTGCAGCGAAGCAGATTCTTGGGATGAGGATTAGCAGAGACAAACATAAAGGTATTTTGCAGTTGTCTCAGGCTGAGTACGTTGAACGGGTTCTGAAGAGGTTCAACATGAATAATGCTAAGGCGGTGAGTACTCCTTTAGTTAATCACTTCCGCTTATCTCAAGATTAGTGTCCGAAGACAGAAGATGAGAAAAACTTCATGGCTAAAATTGCATATGCCTCAGCCATTGGAAGTTTGATGTATGCCATAGTGTGTACAAGACCAGACATTGCATATGCAGTGGGAATAGTAAGCAGGTTCATGAAGGATCCTGGCAAGCTACACTGGGAAGCAGTTGTAATACCCCTAATTTAAAAAGGATAGTCCTGATATTTAATTTATTGTTTAAATTACATTTTTTATTTATTATTTGATTTATTTAATTGATTGTTTGCTTAAAATTTGACTTATTTGCATAAATTGTTTTTAATTTCATTATTTGACTATTTGTTTGAAATTATTTGAATTAATTGTTTAAGTTAATTGTTAATTATTAAATTGTTTTATTTTATTCAATCTCATTATTTGTTCTGCCTTAACGTGACTGTAGGGTTAGTTGCATGCATATAGTACACAGTTCATAGCCGACATAGTTTATAACCTAGTTTTCCTATGGGCCGAGTGGATTATGTTTAGGGTTTAATTGAACCTAAGGTTAGTGGCCTATAAATATTCAAGTAGTATTCTGACTAGGGTTTTAGAAAAACTATTACGATATAGTAAGGGCTGAGGGAATTGGAAACGGCTGGGAAGGAAAACAGTGAGCCAACAGAGAAAGTTTCGCCGGAAAACTTAGACGAACGTCTGTGTAAGGCAAGTTCTATCCTTACTCCCTCCCATAGGTTTCGTGTTCTTTGCATCCTTGAATAATTTTAGGGTTGATTGAATCAATAAAACGTTATCTATTATGTTAGAACTTGAATTAAAAAACTGTATGGTCGCATGCTTGCTTAAACTACTAAAATGTGTTGTTTGCTTGCATAGTTCTCTGTTTAAAACCTATGTATGTAATGTAGTTAAGACTTAAACATGGACTGGAATACTCTGGGATTAGATTACAGCATCTGGGAACCATCGCAGTAGGACGGAGAAGTTGCAGAAGGCGTATAAGGAAGAGGGAAAATAAAGAGACGCGACAGAGAGGGAGAGAGCCGGCTCCCTTAGAATTAGAGGCGGCTCCCAAGTGGGGGAGCCGGTTCCAAGGTTTAAAGGAGGCGGCTCCAACTTTTGGAGACGTCTCCTTGCTCAATTTTTGTGATTTTCTTCGTTTCCAGTTAGTTTTGCATGCAATGGTTGATTTTGGAGTTTTCAATTGAGTGCAGAATTGAATATAGAAGGTCTAAGTAATGTATAAGGATAAATTAAAGCTTCAAATATGGTGTTAACTAAGTCTACTTGCTTAGAAAAGCTTGGACAGTAGGGATTTAAATAGGTAGTTCCATGGTGTTTAATTCTGTGAGTACACTGTGTTTAATTCTGAAATCTTTTGAGACGAACGATATAATTGGAACATGTATAACTCTATAACATGAGCATGTATCTGAATTACACTTGTTTAGAATATGTTAGTGTTGAAGAATAATAATTCTTAAATTTAACACTAATGGGATTTTGTAAAACAACATAAACTAAGCATGTATATATACATACTGTAGTTCTGTCTTGGTGTTTGCATTAATACTATTAGTATCAAGTGTTGGAGGAATGGACTTTGTTGATGGTTATTTTAAATGTCTGTAATATTAACTGCTGAGTATTGAATGATAATTTAAAATAATCTTATCATTATATCTGATTGAGTGAAACAACCTAAACTGAGTAGGTTTGTGTATATACAGTGACTATGGTTCTTGATGCTTACATTATGCCTGTTAGTATCAGTGTTGGATATAAAACTGAATCTGTTTATATATATAGCTGATTCTGTTTATTGATGCTTACACTATGCCTGTAAGTATCAGTAATGGAAATATGGATTTAGCTGATGTTTGCTTTAATTGTTGATATTAGCAACTGCTGGATGATTGGATAGTATACACTGGTATAGGACGGTGGTATACTAGGGACGGTTTGGTTTTAAAATGACAAAACCTACCTACTCTGGATTAAGATTGGATTAACTAAAAGTTAAGTCCTAGTAATTGTAATGTCATGGTAACGACTAGTTGAGCGGCACTACTAAGATTCAGGATGGACTTTAAATATATTGTTATAGTACCTCGATATGAGTTTGAGTCTCAGGATCGACGGTTAGGGAGCATATATGCATTGGGATGCATAACTGGATACGATGGTTAGAGGTGTACCCTGTTTAGGTTTAGGTACACATGCCCACTTCCTGTACGTTTTAGCATGTTACCTCTATTCAAGTTAAGACCGGTCTGTAGTCCAGTGAGAGTCCTTTAGTGTGACTATATATATATATATATATATATATTTACGGACTATTAGCTATTGTTAAATTATTTAGGGTGTACATGCGTATCGGGCCTCTCTTTGGATTGTAGTAGTATAGAACTTGCGCGTGGGCTTGACCCACTTCTATTTTTCAGGTACACGACAGTTCCAGACTTAGACATGTTCGTGCCGAGCAGAGGTTTCTATTCACTCTACCGACGATGTAGGACTTCTTTCCAGATTATAGATTTGGATTTTATCTTCAGCTTTACTTTCATTCAGTTTGGGATTTTTATTAGGGGTCCACTGGAGGATTCCCGAGTTGTTTAGATTTTGGAGTTTGGGTTTGATGGATTTCAATAATTATATTATTTTGCGGATTCTATTTTTAGTTCCTTTCAGCTTTAAATTTCATTTTTTTTAGTTCAGTTTGAAATCTGTGTTCGTTATGAATATTAATTGTTCGATATCCCTCGAGTTTGGGCCTGGGCCTGATCAACCCGTGTCTCGAATTCGAGGGGTATCACAGCAGTAAAGTGGATATTGAGATATCTACGGGGTACCACAGACAAATGTTTATGTTTCAGAAGGGGTGAAGTGAAGCTACATGGTTATGTAGATTCAGACTTTGCTGGTGAGGTGGACCACAGAAGAAGTACTACCAGGTATGTGTTCATGGTGGGTACAACTGCAGTTAGTTGGGTTTCGCAAATACAGAGGATTGTAGCGTTATCTACTACAGAGGCAGAGTATGTGGCGATGACAGAGGCCAGCAAGGAGATAATTTGGTTACAAGGTTTGTTAACAGAGTTGGG